AATATTCTCGGGGTCGTCTCGGGGCGGTCATGGGCCTCTTCTGGGGCTGTCTTGAGGCCGTCTTGGAGGCCAGTGGAGGGCTCTGGGGCCCCCTGGGGCCACTGGCAGAACTCCTCGGGACCTCGTGGAGGTCCTTGCGGGGCCTGTCGGGAGCCTGGTCGGATCACCCGTGGGAGCCTCTCGGGGGCCTTCGAGGGCCTCTCGTGGGCCTCCCGGGGGCCTGCTGGCAGTCTCGGGGGCCATCTTGAGGTGGACGGCTCTGCATGCCAGTTTGAGTTTGCCCTCCTGGGCTTCTCTTGGGGGTCGTCTGCAAGGGGCCTCCTGGGCCTCGTCCGAGGGCCTCGGAGGCCCCCTCGGTCGGGTTTCGGCGGGTACCTCTTGTATGTCTTGGACGCCCTACAGACCGACAGGCCGCATTCACGGAACCATCAAAAACACATTGTTTTTGTATCTAATGATTTTGGCTTCTCGGGATGCCTCCCGGGCTCGAAGTCGACCCAGGAACCCGCTCGGAGAGCCTCAGGACGGTGTCTTCTGGGGCCTTTGACGAGGGTTCCTAAGCCTTGGAGGGGACATTCTTTGCTCTTTGGGGGACGCTTGGATCGATTTAGGCAGGTTATGCTTTCCCGGGCGCCCTGCCAACAAACGCTTGTTGCACGCAATCGCGCCCAGGAGCGCTTAAAGTATCTGGAAGGTTGGTGGCCCGGCGGGCCTCAAGGAATTTGTAGTTGTTTCACAACGTTCACATCAGTATGAGCGTACATCTGAGCCTAGAGGCTTTTCCGTACTGGCTGAAGGCACGGTGGTATTTTTATCATGATCGGCCTCCAGATGCCGTCTCCAGCCCAGGGACCGTCAAGCCTCAGTCGTGGGGATGAAGGACTGGTCCCTGGGACGGGACAGAGAGGTCCCTGGGTCGACGACTCGAAAAAACCTGCGTCGCCAAAGGTTCCTGGGTTCAGGCCAGGAAGTTGTAAACAACATGTTGTGGCCAGCCCTCCCGATGTTTTCCGGTAAGGGCTTTGGCCTGGGGTCTCCTTTAGTTTGCCGGCCAAATGCCCTCCACCAGAATGGTGTGGAGCAGCAGGCGTCGGAAGTGGACACGGCGGAAACGTACGTGTGCGGAAAAGGAGGGTGTTTCGAACATGCGTCTCGGCACGCGCGCGTTCGGCACGCGCTTTTTCAGGTGCTCCTGGCCACGACGGGGCCGCAGGCGAGGCACCCACTTCGGTCGCGCCAGTGAGCGGAGGGGGGGGGGGCAACATGTGCTCGGCGCCCAGGGTGGGATCCAGCTTCTAGTCGGCTGATTCTTCACACGCAAAGATAGGTGTGCGGAGGGGGGGCTGCAGCATGCGCCTGACGCGCGTGCGCGGGGCACGTGCCCCAGGGGGTGACCCAACTTCTGGTCGGCGGATGCTTTGCGTGAGAAGCATTTCGCGCGCGGAGGGGGGGAGTCCAACATGCGCCTGGCTCGTGCACGCGGGCCACGTGCTCTCTCGTGCCCACGGCACCCAGGAAGGGACCCAAGTTCTAGTCGGCGGATTTTTTATTCCTATGGATACGTGTGCGGGGGTGGGATCCCACATGCGCCTGGCGCGTGGGGGCGGGGCACGTGTTCTCATGAGTCCGCGGCGCTCTGGGGGGACCCGACATCTGGACGGCGGATTTTTTCCATGTGGAAGTGCGTGCGAGGAGGGAAGGCCCAACATGCGCAGGGCGCGTGCGCGCGGGGGGCGCGTGTTTTCATGTGTCCACGGCACACATGAAGGGACCCAATGTCCAGTCGGCGGATTGTTCACATGTGAAATTGCGTGCGCATGGGGGTGACCCAACATGTGCCTGGCGCGTGCGCGTGGGGTAGATGTTTTCACGTGTCCACGGACCCCAGTGGGGGACCTAACTTCTAGTCGGCGGCGTCTTGGCATGATAAATCACCTGCGCGGAGGGGGGGGAGACAGGAGGAGGAGGAGGAACCGGAGGGGAGGAGGAGGGGGACGACGACGAGGAGGGGGAGGAGGAAGGAGGAGGAGAAGGAGTAGGAGGACGAGGACGACGAGGAGGAGGAGGCGGAAGAAGGGCAGGACGTACTGGTGGTGGTGATAGTTGCAGTTCTGAAAGGGGAAAGTGTAGCACGCGTGTCAAAGTGTAGCACGCGTGTCAGAAGAAAGTGTGACTCAATTTGCTTACCAGGTTCGGTGATCCGTCAGGTTTACAGCCCTGGCCGTCTCCCCGCAGGCTTTCCCAGCCCCTTTCCGGAGGGTGGCGGCGTATCGATCCAGATGCCGAACAGCGGCGACACCACACCACGAGGGCCCTTCTCTGCTCCTTGATGGTGGTGGTGCCGCTGCCGTGTTTTATTCCCAACCATCCTGTGGTGTTGGGTCTTCGTTTTGAAGAGACGGTGCCCCGCGTTCCTCCTCCCTTCCCGCCCTCCTCCCCCTCCTCCCCCTCCTTGGGGTGTCCGCATGCGGTTCCCCCACACCCAGGGCAGCGTTTCGTGGCCCCATAGGGAGCTCCACCGAAGGTCCCAGTGGGGGTGGGCGCATGCGGTTCCCTCACCCAGGGCAGCGTTTCGTGGCCCCTATAGGGAGTTCCACCGAAGGCCCCAGTGGGGGTGGGCGCATGTGGTTCCCCCACCAAGGGCAGCGTTTCGTGGCCCCATAGGGAGCTCCACCGAAGGCCCCAGTGGGGGTGGGCGCATGCGGTTCCCCCACCAAGGGCAGCGTTTCGTGGCCCCTATAGGGAGTTCCACCGAAGGCCCCAGTGGGGGTGGGCGCATGCGGTTCCCCCACCCAGGGCAGCGTTTCGTGGCCCCATAGGGAGCTCCACCGAAGGCCCCAGTGGGGGTGGGCGCATGCGGTTCCCCCACCCAGGGCAGCGTTTCGTGGCCCCATAGGGAGCTCCACCGAAGGCCCCAGTGGGGGTGTCGCATGCGGTTCCCCCACCCAGGGCAGCGTTTCGTGGCCCCATAGGGAGCTCCACCGAAGGCCCCAGTGGGGGTGTTCGCATGCGGTTCCCCCACCCAGGGCAGCGTTTCGTGGCCCCATAGGGAGCTCCACCGAAGGCCCCAGTGGGGGTGTTCGCATGCGGTTCCCCCACCCAGGGCAGCGTTTCGTGGCCCCATAGGGAGCTCCACCGAAGGCCCCAGTGGGGGTGTTCGCATGCGGTTCCCCCACCCAGGGCAGCGTTTCGTGGCCCCATAGGGAGCTCCACCGAAGGCCCCAGTGGGGGTGGGCGCATGCGGTTCCCCCACCCAGGGCAGCGTTTCGTGGCCCCATAGGGAGCTCCACCGAAGGCCCCAGTGGGGGTGTTCGCATGCGGTTCCCCCACCCAGGGCAGCGTTTCGTCCACCGAAGGCCCCAGTGGTGGGAGCATCTCCACCGAAGGCCCCAGTGGGGGTGTTCGCATGCGGTTCCCCCACCCAGGGCAGCGTTTCGTGGCCCCATAGGGAGCTCCACCGAAGGCCCCAGTGGGGGTGGGCGCATGCGGTTCCCCCACCCAGGGCAGCGTTTCGTGGCCCCATAGGGACCGAAGGAGTGGATGCCCCCCACCGGGCAAGGGAGCTCCACCGAGTGGGGGTGGGCGCATGCGGTTCCCCCACCCAGGGCAGCGTTTCGTGGCCCCATAGGGAGCTCCACCGAAGGCCCCAGTGGGGGTGGGCGCATGCGGTTCCCCACCCAGGGCAGCGTTTCGTGGCCCCATAGGGAGCTCCACCGAAGGCCCCAGTGGGGGTGGGCGCATGCGGTTCCCCCACCCAGGGCAGCGTTTCGTGGCCCCCATAGGGAGCTCCACCGAAGGCCCCAGTGGCGCAGTTCGCGTGCGGTTCCCCCACCCAGGGCAGCGTCTCGTGGCCCCATAGGGAGCTCCACCAAAGGCCCCAGTGGCGCAGTTCGCATGCGGTTCCCCCGCCCAGGGCAGCGTTTCGTGGCCTCATAGGGAGCTCCACCGAATGCCCGCCCCAGTGGCGGAGTTCGCATGCGGTTCCCCCACCCCAGGGCAGCGTTTCGTGGCCCCTACAGGGAGCTCCACCGAAAGCGGCACCCACAACGCGTTATGAACAATTGGTTATGGTTGGGTCCTTCGCCAGGATAATTCGTCCTACCTCTTGCTCCTTTTCTTCCGTTCCTCCCCTGCCTCTTGCTCCTGCTGCCCGTAGCAACTCCCATAACAGGCTGCGTGTTCGGGTGCGCCCCAGGCACTGGGTGTCCCGCATTCGCAGTTTCTCGGCTTAGCCTTGACTCACCCGATGAACTGTTCGATGGCGACCCGCTCGCAGACCTGGCAGTTTGGTCAGCAGTCCCCCTTGTCCTCCTCGTCCTCTGCCGTCTGCCATCCGTTGGAGTGCACGCGGTGCTGCACCCAGAGCACACGCAGCAGGGGGCCCCAGCGCCAGGGCATGTCTTCCCCCCCCTCCCCAGATTCTCGAGGGCGCGAGATTGTGAGCCAGAGCCGAAAGAGCGATCGAGCCGGCGTGCTCCTCCTCGGCAGGCCGTTGGGTCACAGGGGCTCGAAGCGTCAGAGGCGGCCGCTACAGCAGCAGCAGCAGCAGCAGCAGCAGCAGCAGCAGCAGCAGCAGCAGCAGCAGCCACAGCAGCAACCACAAAAGCAAGAAAGGCGCGCCTTGCACAGGACAGCAGGAGCCCTCGGCGGCACCGCGACAGCCGCCACCAGCAGCTCGTTCCAGGGCAGGCAGATGCAAGAGCCAGCGGGCTCCTCCTCGGCCCCCGTGCACTTTCTCCGCCTTGGCATCGCTCGGACGTGTGCATTTTTCCTTCGGCGAGGACCATCGAGGAGCATCCTTGATCACTTGGAGAAAAAACCACGCACGAAACCGAAAACCACAGGGAATGGACGTCCGAGCGATGGCCAGCCGCACCTGGCCGCCTCGAGCATGGCCTGGCCGCCGCGGGAGTCTCCCCACGCCTGCACGGGGGGAGGACACCCTGATACCGGAGGTGCCCTACGCCGCCCACCGGCTGCAGGCCCCGGGGGGGTTGGGCAGGTGGTATTATCGGATACACGCCGGTCGTTGAAAGCAGGTACTCCAGATTTCGTAATAAAGGGAAGGGGGGTCTCATTTCGGGGGGGGTCTCTTCCAGGCTATCTTGGAGGGCCTGGGGGGTCTGGGGACGATGTTTTGGAGGGTTCTCCCACGGGGGAGGTCTGAAATGGCTTGTCTTGGAGGGTCCAGACCCCCTCCCTTTTATTACGAAATCTGGAGTATTGTTGGATTCCCAGATCCCAATCTACTTCAAGTGCCGTCCTACTTCAGGAATCGGCACGCTTTTGCTGTGTTCTGTTTTTCCCTGGGGGGGCCTGGACCCAATCTACTACATCCGCCTTCCTACTTCATGTTTCTACCTACTTCTTCCGACCGATGTGTATGGATATATTGGCCTTCGGCCCATCCAGCGACTGAAGCATGAAGCACATTGGAGGCTCGTTCGAATCTCATGGGATGCCTCTCGGGGGGCCTCTTGGAGGCGGTTTTGAGGTCTCTCGGGGGCCGCATTGGGGCCTCTTGAGCCTCCTTGGGGCCTCTCGGGGCGTCGAGGGGGCCTCTTGGGGCGCTCTTAGGACGTGTCGGGGCCCTCTTGGAGGCCTTTAGGGCTGTTTTGGGGTGGTCTTGGAGGCCTCTTGGGTCGTCTTCGAGCGTCGGCAAGCAGAAAAGGCGAGAATGCCAAAATCCGTGAAGGACAATTCATGCTTTTTGCCTCTTGGGGGGCCTCTTGGGTCGTCTTGGAGGCCTCTTGGGCCATCTTGAGGCCATTTTGGGCGTCAGAGGATTGGGCAACGGACCTGGGGACACGCCCCCTCCGTGCCCAGCGGCACTGGCGGACGTGTGTATGTGTGTGTGTGTGTGTGTGTTTGCGCGTGTGTGTGTGTGTGTGTGTGTGTGTGTGTGTGTGTGTGTGGGTGTGGGTGGGTGTGGGTGTGGGTGTGGGTGTGGGTGTGGGTGTGGGTGTGGGTGTGGGTGTGGGTGTGGGTGTGGCTGGGTGGGTGGGTGGGTGTGTGGATGGGTGGGTGGGTGGGTGGGTGGGTGTTTGTGTGTTTGTGTGTGTGTGTGTGTGCGCGCTGTGTGCGCTGTGTGTTCCGATGGAGGTGTGCAGTAGTAGTCGTAGTAGTAGTAGTAGTAGTAGTAGTAGTAGTAGTAGTAGTAGTAGTAGTAGTAGTAGTGGTAGTAGTAGTAGTAGTAGTAGTAGTAGTAGTAGTAGTAGTAGTAGTAGTAGTAGTAGTAGTAGTAGTAGTAATAGTAGTAGTAGTAGTAGTAGTAGTAGTAGTAGTAGTAGTAGTAGTAGTAGTCAGTAGCAGTCGTAGTCGTTAGTAGCAGTAGTAGTAGTAGTAGTAGTAGTCAGTAGTAGTAGTATCGTAGTCGTAGTCGTAGTCGTAGTCGTAGTAGTAGTAGTAGTAGTAGTAGTAGTAGTAGTAGTAGTAGTAGTAGTAGTAGTAGTAGTAGAGTAGTAGTAGTCGTAGTAGTCGTAGGTAGTAGTAGTAGTAGTAGTAGTAGTAGTAGTAGTAGTAGTAGTAGTAGTAGTAGTAGTAGTAGTAGTAGTAGTAGTAGTAGTAGCAGTACAGTAGCAGTAGTAGTAGTAGTAGTAGTAGTAGTAGTAGTAGTAGTAGTAGTAGTAGTAGTAGTAGTAGTAGTAGTAGTCGTAGTAGTAGTAGTAGTAGTAGTAGTAGTAGTAGTAGTAGTAGTAGTAGTAGTAGTAGTAGTAGTAGTAGTAGTAGTAGTAGTAGTAGTAGTAGTAGTAGTAGTAGTAGTAGTAGTAGTAGTAGTAGTAGTAGTAGTAGTAGTAGTAGTAGTAGTAGTAGTAGTAGTAGTAGTAGTAGTAGTAGTAGTAGTAGTAGTGTAGTAGTAGTAGTAGTAGTAGTAGTAGTAGTAGTAGTAGTAGTAGTAGTAGGAGTAGTAGTAGGGATTCGATGAAGTAAGCATGCGATTACGATGATGAAGACAGCGGCGTGGACGTGGAAGACGGCGGTGGACTCAGCAGTTGTTGCCGCGGTGGTGCTCCTAGTATCGTTGTGGTCCCAGTCCGTCAATAGGCCAGCTTGCAAATGATTGTTTCCCCATTATTAGAAGAGGAGGTGTGAACGACCTATCGCGGTTATGTCTATACGTATGATTGTTTGTGTGTGTGTGTGTGTGCGCAGTCGACTTGGGCGTTTACCCCACAAAGCCGTCGGTTGCCACCGCCAGGGGCTGCAGCCCGCAGGTGCCCGCCGCTGCTCTGCTTGCTTCACGGCCCCAGGGGATGTCGAGGCACACCCGAAGGAAGGCACCCGCGGAGCAAGGGGCAGGGAACTAATGCGAGGGGCAAAGGAAGATCGAAGAAGAGAACACAGCATAAACAGCAGCTCTTGAACTCTCCGCGCAGGTTTCTTGGGATGGGCGCTGGGCCCCCCTGGCGGCGCCTCCGGCGCCTCCCCTGGCGCGATCCGCGCGCCAGTGATGGGGGTCCAGCGCCGATCACAGAAATCCACGCGGACCGTCGAAAGTTTATGTTGATGCCGTCTGTCTCGTTCTCTAGACAGAGAGCGGGCCCAGCAATACAAAGCGAGCGAGCGAGCCAGCAATGGTGCATGTGAGTCACTAGCGCCCTACTGAAAAGATATGGATCCGCCACACCCCCAAGGGGGCAAGCGGAGGGCGGAAGCCCCATGGATGCGTGCATGCCCGAGGCTCAACACGACGACGGGGAACCCGAGCATCAGGGCGGAACCGCACCAGTGGCGGTGAGCACAGGCTTTTGGGCCGAGGTCCTCGAGCAAGCGTCGCAGCGCACCTTTGTCCAGGACGGACCAGAGCCCCTCGTCCACCGCGGCGTTCGACGACCTTGCCCTGAGCCGCGCGAGCAGGCCCGTGCGCTCCCTAGGCTCTGCCGCCGCAGGTGCAGCCTCCGCGGCAAGCGCGTCGGCACCCGCCCCAGCCGCTCCAGCAGCAGCCTTCTAACGGAGGCGCGTCCGCCCAGGAGTCGTCGAGGAGGTCGCCGCCGCCGCCGACGTCCATGGCATCCGCCGCAGGGCCGGCGAGCGCCGAAGGCGCGCCAGCCACCACCACCGCCATGTCCGCCTCAGCCGCCGCCGCCTCTCCCCGCTCCAGCGCACGCCGCCCAGCAAGGCGCTGGCGGCGCCGACGGCGCCGCTCGTGCTTCGCCTCCGAAGAGGCGCTGGGAGCAGCCGCCGTAGGTCCGTGGGGCTCTGCGTCGCTGTCGGCAGCTGGCGGCTTCCGCAGCGCCGGCGCGGCCGCGAAGGCCGCCGCAGGCACCGCGGAGCTCGCCACCGCTGCCACGGTGCGCCGCGCGGCCCCGCCGTCCACAGCCGCGCGGACAGCCGCCGCCACAAAAGGCGCGAGGTTCGCTGCAGCCGAGGAAGCCCCTCTAGGCACCGCCATGCCGCCGTCTCCGAGGGGAGGCGCAGAAGAGGAGAGCCGTGCAGTCGCTTGAGCCAAAATGGCTACGGAGGCAATACAAAGCGCCCACAGAGAGCGGGCGCAGAACAGCGCGGCAACAAGGCAGGCGTCCGCAGCAATCACCACCGAGTGTAGGAGGCAAATGGGGGCAGGAGGAGGCAGGAATAGCAGTATGTATGCTCCACGCGGCTCGCGGCTCGTGTCCTCCATCGCCCGCCCATCCTCTCTGGGCTTGCTGCTGCCTCTGAGTTCCTCGCCCTTCTTCTGTGCACTGTCCTGCTTCGGTTCGCCGCGATTTGTCCGAGTTGGACGCCTGAGCCTCCGTAGCGTTTTCGCCTCTTGCGGCATGTGTGTCTGCGTCTGCGTGGCTACGTCCAGCCGCTGATCCAATTACGCGGCGGAGCAAAGTTGTGACTGTATGTGTTTGTGCGACTGTGTGTGTGTGTGTGCATGTCCGTGTCCGTCTGCCTGCCTGCCTGCCTGCCTGTTTGTCCGTCTGTCTGTCTGCCTGCCTGCCTGCTTGTCTACCCGAGCCTGTCTGTTTGTGTGTGTGCTCGTGTGTTCTTGTGTGCGGTTGTGTGTACCTCTGTGTGTGTGTGTGTGCGTGTGTGTGTGTGTGTGTGTGTGCGTGTGTGCGTGTGTGCGTGTGCGTGTGCGTGTGTGCGTGTGTGTGTGTGTGTGTGTGTGTGTGGCCTTCACAGCTCTCCCCTTGGGTCCGCGTTTGCTCTAGAGTGCCGTCCGCAACGCAGGTTGGCAAGTCACTACAACGTTGCCCGTCTTTAGCTGTTGATCGCGGCAGAGGCGCCACATCGCCAGCGGACAAATCAACAGTTCGAGTGGTCTGAAGTCTTCGACCGTACGTGTCCAGCTCTCGTGATTGGGGCTCTGGTTCTGCTGGGAACGTCTGGTGCAGCCGTGTGCAGTGACCAGGGGATCTTGCGACGGCAGGCATGTGGCGCCAGACTGGTTGGGTGCGTTGCTGGACTTGTCTGCGCCGCCGCGGGGTCTGCGCTCGACGGAGGGTCTTTATGTCTCCGTGTACGTCCTGATGCCAATCGCCTACATATTTGCGGCATTGTAGCCGTCGGTGGTTTTGCGGGAGTTGATTGGTAGACGAGATAAACTTGCTGATGCTTACGATCCGCATTTCTTGTTGCGCTAGTCCCTTATCTAAGTGCCGCGGCGCGCGGAGCGTTAGCCACCGCGGCGGCTGGGACCGCGCCCTGCGAGATGTTGCGTTTTTGACGGAAGAGTGTGTGTGTGTGTGTTTGTGTGTGTGTGTGTGCGTGTGTGTGTGTGTGTGTGTGTGTGTTTGTGTGCGTGTATGTGTGTGTGTGTGTGTTTGTGTGTGTGTGTGCGCGTGCGTGTGTGTTTGTGTGTGTGTGTGTGAATGTGAATGCGAATGTGTTTGTACGTGTGCGTGCGCGCGTGGTTGTGAGAGAGATCGTAGCTGATGGGGACAATGTCGGATGAATAGGTTGTGGGTCGGCGAAACGTTGCTACCTTCATGCGCAAGCGGCTCCCAGGGTGACAAGGGCTACGACGCGCTGTGCTGGCTCAAAGAGCACTGCGAGTGCATGTTTCTCCTGGGAGGGGATGCGGGTGACTCGGCGGTGAGGACGGAGGAGGATTTGATTGGAGTCGGCGTTCAGTGCAATGCTTGGGGGGTACGAGGGTCCCAGCAGGTGTCAATTCGCCACGCAGGGTGAGCAGGAGGAGGAGGAGGAGAAGGATGAGCGAGAAGAGGAGGTGGAGGATACGGATGAGGACAAGCAGGAGGAATGCTGATGATGAGGCTGAGGATGTGGTTGCCGATGAGAATGAGGATCTTGCTGACGATGATGATACGACGGCGACGACGGTGCCGATGACGCTGACGATGCTACTGCTGATGATGCTGATGCTGATGATGATGATTACGATTACGAGGATGATGATGATTATGATGATGACGACGATGATGGTGTTGATGCTGATGCTGATGCTGCTGCTGCTGTTGTTGATTATGATGCAGATCACGATGATGATGACGATAATGATACTGTTGCTGATGCTGATGATGATACTGGTGATGCTCATGATGATGATGGTGATGAGGATGAGGATGAGGATGCGAGTGAGGATGAGGATGACGATGCTGCCGGCAGTTCGGATGATGTTGGTGATGATGATGCTGGTGATGCTGAGGATGATGATGGTAATGTTGAGGTTGATGATGATGGTAACGGTGAGGATGATGATGCTGATGCTGATGACGCTGTTGCTGATGATGCTGCTGCTGCTGATGTCGATGCTGCTGCTGTTGATGCCGATCACCATGATGATGACGATGCTGATGCTGATGAGGATACTGGCGATGTTCATGACTATGGTGGTGCTGAGGATGAGGCTGAGGATGCGAGTGAGGATGATGATGCGGATGATGACGGCAGTTCTGATGATGATGGTGATGATGCTGAGGATGATGATGGTAATGTTGATGCTGATGGTGATGGTGACGATGATGATGCTGCTGCTGATGATGAAGATAACGATGACTATGATGATGCTGCTGATGATGATGAGATTCATCATGATGTCGATATCGACGGCGACGACGATGATGGTGACGTGTATGATGACGAGTAGGAGGATGGTGATGATGGTGCTGATGATGAGGTGGAGGAGGAGAAGGAGGAGGAGGAGGCGGAGGCGGATGATTAGGGCGATGACAAGGATTATGCTCATGACGACGGCGGCGAAGACGACGTCGTCGAGGATGGTGATGATGCTGACGACGATGATGATGCTGATGCTGATGATAATGATACTGATGGTAATGATGATGCTGATGCTGACGATGATGCTGACGACGATGATGATGAGCATGCGGATGCGGATGCGGGTGAGGATGATGAGGAAGAGGATAAGGAAGAGGATGAGGATGATGAGGAGGAGGGGGAGGAGGATGATGATGATGATGATGATACTGATGATACTGATGATGATGAAGATGATGATGATGATGATGATGATGATTCTGATGATGATGATGATGATGATGATGATGATGATGATGGTGTTGTTGATGATGCTGACGATGATGACGATGATGATGATGATGCTGCTGATGATGATGATGATGATGATGATGAAGACGATGGTGATGGTGGTGATGATGATGCTGTTAATGATGTTGATAATGATGCTGATAATGATCAGGACGACGATGATGATGATGAGGATGATGATGCGGACGATGATAATGATGATGCTCAGGATGGGGATGATGAGGATGATGTTGATGATGATGATGGTGATGATGATCACGATGATGATGCTGATGCTGATGCTGATGATGATGATGCTGCTGATGATGATGATGATGATGATGATGATGATGATGATGGTGGTCATGCTGACGATGATGTTGATGGTGGTGGTGGTGATGCTGATGATGATGATGATGATGATGATGATGATCATGATGGTGGTGCTGATAATGATAGCTGCTGCTGCTGCTGCGGAGGAGGATGGAGGATGGAGGAGGAGGACGACGACAGATTTCTAGGCATGTGAGACGGGCAGCGTGTAGGTGGATGCCAGTGGGGGCAACCAACGCGTACGACGGGGACGTGCGCTTGCACATGGGCGAGGCTACACGGCAAGCACGGCTTCTTGGGCCCCCCTCACAGTGTCGCCAATTTGCGCGACGGGCCCCCGAAGGACAGGGCCAGAGCCCGTGCCAGGGCATTTGCACCTCTGCCAGACCCCGCTAACTTGAGGCCCCATTTTGGGTCAGCGCCACCGCCCGCCTCTGCTTGGGGCGCTGGCCCCGACGTCTTACTCAGGGCGAAGACAAGAGAAGAGAAGAGGAGGAGGGGAAGGAGGAGGAGGAGGATCATGAATTGGAGGAGTAATATGGTGATGCTAATGGTTATGATAATATTGAGAAGGAGGAGGACGAGGAGGAGGAGGACGAGGACAGGCTGATGGTATGCTCCAGACCCGCTTGGACCCTCAGTCGCGTCGTCCCTCTGGGATCTCAGCCCAACCTCGCAGTTCCACAGCTGCGATGTGCGCCAGGGCCGCAGAGGGACGATAATGGGCAGCAGAGGCTTTTTTCGTGGCCTTTGCGGGTACTCTGTGCTTCGCTGCGCTGGGCATGGGATCTGGCGCTTGTGGCACGTTCGCCAGGGGGGCAAGAAGTATCCGGACGTGTGTAATTTGTAATTGTCCGGACCTCTTCCTGGTCGGTTCAGATGCCGCTGGCCACAATTTCACATGGTGGCCAGAGATTTCTGAACCAGAACGACGTCCATAGCGCTGTCCATGAAAATGTTTATAGGCAGCGGGGCCCCTCTTAGTTCTGGTTTTCGAGGGCCCTGTCATCTACCACGGCTCTCTCACATTTTGTGATAGCTGTGGGGTAGCAGCATACGTTGAATGTCAGAGTAGGCGCGAGCGGTAGCCGAACCACCCGTGGACGAGAATCGAAACCAACCCCAGACACAGTCGGTGCTTTCTTCATCTCACACACAAACATGCTGAATTCTCGGCCGCGGGTGGCAGCAAAGCTGGACCATTGTCAGGCCGGCTTCTCTCCAAGGGGGTCTTTGGCGGCACTTTGCGCGCATTCATTTCCTTCCGCCTGGTCCACGCGCGCGTCAAACAGCCACGCCGCCGTCTCTTCCTCTGGGGCGAGGGGCGCGGTCTGCAACTCTACAGCACTCATTCCTGGCCGTTCCCTTTCCTAAGCCCCATTAGACCCCGCGGGGCCACCCCCGCAAAGAGGGGCGCGGAGGACACATGTGGGAGGAGGAACTTGCGGTCCCGCTCATCTGTACCCCTTCTGCTTTAAAGGAGATGCATATCCAACCCTCAAGCCACAACCGGACTTCACTGCACGGCCTTTCGGATCAGATTCCGCATGCTTGCTGCACGATCGTCAAATTGTTTGCGCTTCGCGAATCCCCGCCAGCCCTAACAGAAGCCCTGCCCACGAGAGCTGACGGGAAATGGAAAGCAGAGACGCATATAGTGAAACGGAGCGGTCAAAGAGAGGAGGGGGAGGAACGTGTTGAGCCATGTTGGAGGCTATCTTGGAGCATCGGAGGCCTTCATGGAGCTGCGGAGCTCCTTGGAAGCGTCTTGGGGTTGTCTTGGGGATCTTTTGGGGGCATCTTGGGGCTCTCTTGGGGCTCTCTGGGGATTCTTGGGGTTCTCTTGGGGCTTTTTTAGGGGGCGCCTTGGGACCCTCATGGGGCCCTCTTGGAGCTCTCTTGAGGCTCTCTTGGGGGCCTCGTTGGAGCCCGGAGGGCCTCTTGGGGCTGTCGTGGAGGGTGCCGGTGCAAAGAGGGAGGGTCCTAACGTTTAGCCCCCCCCCCCCCCCTGGGGGCCATCCAAAATAGCATCTTGGGGCGCTCTTGGGGCCCTCTTGAGGCGATCTTGGGCGCTCTTGGAGCCGTCTTTGGGGCCTCTTGGGCTTTTCCTTGGGGCCATTTGGAGGCCTCAAAAGCGCATCGGAAGCGAAAAGGCGACCCGTCCAAAATCATTGGTTTCCATCCTTTTCGAAGGAGTTTGGCTTCTCGGGGAGGTCCTGAGGGGTCTCCAAAAGTATTTTGATCCGTCTTGGGGCCTACGTGGGGCCTTTTGGAGGCATGTTGTTAGCTATCTTGAGACATGTTGGGCTATCTTGAGCGATCTTGGAGGCCATCTTGGGCTCCCGGAGGCCCTCTTGGATCCATCTCAGGCTATCTTGGACGCCCTGACAGCTCGCGACCCCCCCCCGTCCAGGTCCAGGGGAGTGGGCGGGGGGAGGGGTCAAGACACCCACCCGCCCGCAAACCGTCTAGCTCACTCCCACTCGCCCTCCCTATACAGAAGTAGCACCCGAGCCTGAGCATGTTCAGCGGTCGTTTTTGGATGGACAGCTACTGGGAACCAAAGCCGACCCCAGGTGCGCGACGTTTGGGCGAGGTGCCCCACGCGTGCCAGGGGCGCCACGCGCGCCAGGCACCCCTGGGGCCCGAGCGTGCCTGGCACACCTGGTGTGCGCCAGGTGTGCCGCGCACTCCAGCCGCGCCAGGTACGCCGCGTTCGGGGCACGTGCAGGGTGCGTCAGGTGCGCCTGCGCACGTGGCGGCACACATCGGGAAACATGTCCGCCCCCGCCATCCTTGTCGAACACCGATGCCCATCATTGTGTCTGGTGAGCCTGCGCACAGCAGGCCAAGCGCCACCACCCCCGCCGTCCCTGTCAAAAACCACTTGACAGTGATCGCGGGATGGCCGCGCATGGTCCAGATTTAGCCGCGAGGTGCATGTTGTATTGTCTTTCTCTTGCCAGGGATGGTAGCCCCGCCCGCAGCAGGGAATGTGCTGACACCCCCGCCGTCCTTGCTAACAAAACAATGCGAAGTGTTCGTGAGCCTCACGACCATGACTCAAGACTTTGCCCCGAAGTCTACTTTTCCTTGATTTTGACAGGGATGGGGGGGGCGCACCGGGGTGGCCGCACATGCTCCATATGTGGAGGCAGAGTGAGGTTGTATTGTTTGTTGGCAGGGGTGGTGGGGGGCGGGTCGGCATGGTGTCGGCATAGTGCTTGG